GGGAAAATGAGTGGAAGATATGAGTTCTGAAAACAGCACAAAAATAATTAATGACTTCTGGAAGCCTGCCCAGGGGTTGCTTTACATCTGATATAACTTGACCATACCTTGCTTGGGAGAGGTTTTAATGTTTACAGTTCTGTTAATCAAATAAAAATATCAAACTTGTCGGTATATCAAAGCAAGAGCTATCAGTTATCTTGTTCAAAGCAAACTGTTTTGTTTAAAGGCTGAGCTGAAGAGCTGCAGTTGGTATTTTCAGTCATGTTCAGTTACTTTTTCTTTCTGAGATTCTTTGCTGGAAAACTATATTGTATACTTTCTATTACTGCATGCAAGAGCTACTCTAGTATCAGTCCTGGCTGAATGAATGCCATCGAGGTATACTTCCACTCGAGCACATAAGGATACCTGCCTCCATATCACTTATAGATGCTCCAACTATTCAAATAATCTGCAGATATAGAAAATTCATTCAATTCTCCTCCATGGAAAGACACAGGTTTTTACATTTGACAAAAAAAAAACTGCAGTTGCTCCTAATGTGTCCTTACTTATCAGATAATTCCAGCAGCCAGAAAAAAAGAATACATTCTTGCCAGCATGCTTCATAAAAGTGCTGGAAATGGAGAAAGCAGGTTGTGTAGAGGAAGCAGCAGCACATAAAGTGCCTTCTGATTTTTCTCTAGATGACAAGAATTAATGCTCCTATCAAGAACATTAATCAAACACATTTAAGATGGTGTTGTCATTCTTTCTAAAAAGTAAAGTAGTGACAGGAGAGGTAAATATATTTTCCTAAAATATGTTGTTTTTTTAACTATATCTTGGGCTTTTTATATGTAATTTTCTAGAAATATTAATAAATATATACCATGTACAGTATGATCCATGTTAAAACTGAATATTTCTCTTGATGTTTATGAAGAACTAGAGACATTAAGGTCCACAGACCCTTCTGATTTCCAATCCTTGCTGAATTCTCTATTTTTTACTTTTAATGTTTGTTTAATATATTTTTACACCTTCTGCAGTTTGAACATTGGAAGATTTGATTCTGTGGTGCTCAAGAAAATATGTTGACACTGCCATTCCTTATATTACATGTGCACATTTTCATACTATTCACATTTTGCTTTTCTAAAAAGTAACAGGAAAAAATATACAAATGGTTAAATGTGGTAGCCACTTGCTAATTTTCTTATTCAACCTCCTATTTAAACACTTGGAAATACTAGTTTCATACAGTGAGTGAACTTTGACAGAATTCACCACCCTTCTATCTTGCTCGCAAGAAAAATAAATTCAAGTCTTGTGTCTCGGTGACATTCTGATATTACTCAGTAAAGGAAAAATCTAAGGCAAACACTTGGCTTTTTTAATATTTAACAGAGAGCATATTTACCAAAATAATCCCGAGCTGGCATTCACACTTGAGGTGTAGTCTTATTTGCCCCTATTATTTTTAGAAATCTACAGATTGACATTATGCCAAGCTTTTCACTGTAAACTCTAACTCACTAATGTGCTAGAAGTCTTTTAGTGTATGCGCTAAGAAGACATGCTGAATCTATTGCCGGTGTTTACAAAAATGTTTATACCGCTTCACTGATTTATTGCTCAACAGTTGAATCCCTAAATAGTTCCTTCCTTGCTCAGATGCTCACTTTGGTTAATCAGAGAGATCTAGGCAATATCTGGTTGGTTTGATACGCTTTCCAGATCTTAATAATTGACTTCACTGTGTTCAAAGGAAAATTATGTTTTTAATTTTTGTACCTTTCGCCTGATCTGTGCTTTCCTAAAAAATAATCTCTGCGTTGTTTTGAAAGCTCCTTGGTCTTTGTGGTTTAATCCTTGTTTGAAATTTACTATTTGACTGAGGACCTTACAGACACAGGTGTGGTTTTAGGGAAATCATGTGAACCACTTAGACCACTTGACTAACTGTGTGGCTCGTCAAGGTAATTTCATACATCCAAATTCATTTAGGATTGTTATTCCAAAAACTTCAGATATTGAAGCAACCATTACTTTTCCATTTTTATTTTGTATTATCTATTTATTTTTTAAGCTAGATACTTAACATAGTGTGTATGTTTATATCCATGAGTACTTGACAAGTATGCGCTTACTTTGTGTGATAAACACATGCACAAATTTCTTGCTTAAAACAAAATTTAAACTTCGAGGAAGTTTCATGTTGATACATTGAGGATGTAGAATTTTATTCCCTTTACTCCAAAGAACTCATTTGTTTTGGTTAAAATTCTCCACTTCTGATTTGTCTAAGTATCACAGCTCTTCACATTGAAAGGGCCCAGCTTGGAAACACTTAAATGGTATGACTAAAAAGATTTAGCATTGAAAAAGATGCTGGGTGCTGTAGTATCACTGGTTTTGTGACATTTAATCACTATGTTTTTGCACGATTATTTTTAAAGACTAAAAAGACATGTTGAATTTTGATTACCACTATATGACGCAGGAATTTGTATATTAAACAGTGTACTATATCAAGAAGATTAACTCTGAGCTTTTATTTCCTTATCTTTGCCCTATACTAAATCCTCTGCAAACAACCTACTTGTTTCTGAAATTCCTTAAACTGAATGAAGAAATTATGACATTTATTCATTTTAATTTCATTACTTGTTTTCAACAGAAGAGGGCAAACAGTGAAAAATAAACAGGCCTTAACCCAGAGAGTTTGAACAGGTGTAAAGGAGACAGCCTGATGCAGTTCCTGTACACCTAGAGAACTGCTGACCTAAATCAAACTGTTTCTCTTTTTCCAACCCCTGCAAACTTTTGTTTTTGTGTGAAGTGAAGTATGCAGCAGGCAAACACAAACCACTGACCAGAAGTGAGTCAATGTTTAGTAACTGTGCTCAACATAAGCAAGAGTGCTGCTTTTGTGTTTGAAACTCTTCCATAAATTCCATTTTTACTTATGGATTGTATGCATTAAATAAGTTGTGTTGCTTGGACGTAGCACTCATTTTTATGTTCAGTGGCAATTCCTGATGTATCATTAATCATTTATCCAAAGCAATTTTGTTTTACAATTGAAAGCCTTCTTAGGATAAGAGGATATGCATATAATATTTCAACATATATTTTCATTTTTACAGCACATAAATAATGTTCACTTTGTTGTGTAAAAGTATTATTTTATTGAGTCATATTTATCCAGGTTGTCACGTCTAGGGCAATATCGCTGATCACCCAGAAGACCTCTGTGTTACACTTACATTGACACAAAATGTATTACAAAAAATACACAAAAGCATAATAAAACCATTATATGAATACTGTATGCACATCCATTTTTTAATAGAATTGTGTTTAATAAGAAAAAGAAATAAAATAAAAACCAAACATCTATAGAATTAGTTAGAATAGACTGAAGGATGAAGCAGTAACTGAAATGAGTGCTGTACTTCATAAAAAATGAATCATTTTGATAACAGCATTTGTAATTTATCTCATGAAATGTGTCACAGTGTAGCAAAGTATTTTCCTTTCCTCCAGCATAAATGTATTTCTTGCTTTCTTCTCTCACCATTTAATTGTAGAAGAGGTTCATCCTAAAGTTTAATTGCCTATAATGAGAAGTATCGTGTACAGTTGTATGTTTTAATTTCATTTCTTTTTACTTTAATAAGCCCATCACTAAATCTTTTATACAATTAGGCATTGTTAATATTCATTACTTAATATTACAGTATCTTGCCTCCCAGTCTGATTTTATTATAGCGCTACTGTAAATATTCCAAATACTTCACTGTATCTGATCTAGTTTGATTCTTTTTAATTTATAGTCAGTACTTTTGTAATCATGAGTACTCTACATTAATGTGAATAGTTATTGTGGTATACTTTAAATAAAAATATTGTCAATTACTAAATCTGCACTGAGTTGAATGAGATCACTAGACATATTCTTTAAAAATCACATTTTTGTGGTGACAGAATGGAGAGGTCCACAAGGACACTTTTCTTCTCTTGTTGTAAAGCGTGAGGGTAACATTATGATATGGGGACACAGTAAATGGAAGATTGTCAAGTTGCATTCAATTGATATCTTGAGCAGCAAGAATTATTGTAACCTAACCTGGGGATCGTAAGTGTCATTTTAGTGCAAAGCTGATTGGAAGAGTATTGTGGTCCACCATAACCTGAAGGACACTGAATAAAACTAGTGAATTCCTTCAAAGGTAGTGAATGATCTAGACGGCAATTTTTAAAATAATCTACAGAGTTACAGTACCTAATACAAAAGATTTGACACTTTCCTGGATAGAAGAAAGAAACATTTAGAATGGCACCCGACTATCATAGTATAACTCTTAAAGTAGCAACCATTATTGTTTCTCCAATCATGAAGGCATTAAAATACTGGCATCCTCAAGACAAGGAATTTTGTTATCTTATTATATTAAATAATACATTGTGTTAAACTAAACATATTTATACATTTGACCTCTTCCATATTTAATATTCATTTGTCCATGCAATCTGTCTGTAATTTTATTTAAGAAACAAGGCTTTTAGTCACCTTTAATAACGTAGCCACTTGCAGACATAAACATTGGTATGGATTTTCTTAAATGATTTAATTCAGTATGACATATTTCTAGGGTAAAAGAGTTTAACAGACTTAGAAGTAGCGTCACTGATAACAGCCTACAGCAGTTCAAACAATATTTGTTATACGTAATGTATTAGTGGAAAAAAAGGCTTCAGACATGGGGTGTCAATCACAACGGCTTTGGCTCAGACTCCGGACAAGAAAATCAGTTGTGACTGAATTTTCATTTTATTCATTTCCTTACACTACCTTCCAATAAGATAGTCAAAAACAGGAAGAGTCTACTGAAGCTGATCCCATACAAAATTCAATACACTTGCTTAAAAACATGTGCATATTTGATTTATATAAATAAAATGTGAAGACAAATCTTTTCATTTAAAAATTCAAGTATTTTTTACTCCATTTCCCAACAATGTTATTATACATTTTCTATAAGTTAAGCGCAAACTTTTGTATCCTTCAATGAGTGTTGCAAACGTGTAAACATAATTGGAGAATAAAAATATATACAGGTACATATGTAGAACATTACATAATTACACCTCTCCAGCAGCATTACTTATTACGAATGTAATAATTTTTTTTTCAAAAGACATTTTGCCATGGTGCCATTTTAGGGCAAACAGACAAATTCAAACCAAGCAAGGAGAATCATCCCAATTGGGACATTACTATTGTACCCTCAAGGTACTTCATTCAGTTTGCTCCAATAAAATGCCTAACCGTAACAAACGTACAGTTAAGTAGCTTTGGATAAAAGCACCAGCCGAATGAATTAATAATGCAGGCATTTTTGCCAAAATAAAAAATGAAAAGATGGTTGCATGTTTTGTGCCGAACTCAGTTTCAGTATGAAAATACACCACTCTAGAGTTGAAAAAAAGCCCTTTTTTTTCTCTTCCAGGTGGTTTTCAAGGCAGGAGCCAAAACTGAGCAACAGAACATTGTTTATTAAAAGAGTATGTAAGTGCGGCAGTGCAAAACTGGATTCATCGTATGCTCTGCTCATTCTGAGAAGTCGTCTCTGGCTAGTGTAGTTAGCTGAAACCCCATTCTAACTTGGTACCCATCGGAATTTGTACCCCCCACTAGGAGTTCTTGTGGTGAAAGCATTTCCCTGGGGAAAAGCCAGGGTTCTGATCGTACAGTGATCTCTAATGGAGGTTTTAAAGGACATTCCTTCTTCCATGTCACCACCATCTACAACGATGGAGTGACGCGTCGTGCAGGTCTTCAGTCCATTGAAGGCACCGTGCATATTTATTGTTCCCGTCCCCTGGTTGTCACTGCCATTTTCTTCTGCCTCTTGCTGCAACCTTGGCTGCTTGGAGTCTCTGTGCAAAACCGCGTTGCACTTGTCTGTGATGTCTTTCAAGATGTCATCCACCTCTTTGCAGCCAGGAACGGGCTCGAAACAATCCTCCAGCCTCCGTCTTTTAATGCCCCCATTCCCTTGGCAGGATTCTGCTGTGGGGTGATTTGCATTGTTGGGCTGTGTCATAAGCCTCTGAAACAACAAGGAAAAGATCAGATTTAAGCACGCAGTTCCTTGCGGTCTTTCTCGTTTTTACCTATGGTCTTTTGGAACCACCTACTGTAGATCGCTGTAATTGCACATTGAATTCAAGGCATCAGAGCTCTGATGCAATATGAGAGCACTCTGCCTTTCTGAATACAATAGAAACAGAACTCCCAGAAGCCACAAATTACAGTCGACAATGCAAGTCTTTAGCAAGCTAGTGTGCGTATTTAAAATGTATGGCTGTTTAACTGTGCCTCGATGTGGTAATGAAAACAAGCCCTTAACAGCATCATTGTCATGTTCTAGCTCTAAATTAAACCAGCATTAAAAGACAGCAAACACAGCTCCTTCCTGAGTGTACCTACATCAAGTACTGAGGCCAGATGTTTGGCTTGGTCTGCAAGCTCTTTCAGATGGATGTTTCTCTCCTGTAGAGATGCAATCTCTTCTTGCTTTCTGTTCAATGTGACATGGAGCTGTTTGAAAAAAAGAAAACACAAAATGTCCTATTGAATATCCTTAATTTTTGAAAAAGTGCATGTAACTAGAAAGCTTACAACCGGGGTTAACAATGAGAGTCTAGTGATTGAAAAGAACTGAAGACTTTGTGAATCATTGTGATAAGAACTAAATAAAGTATTTTATAAGTAAGGAACTGGAAACTCTTATTTGACATTTACTTCAATTGTATTAGTGATAGTTTTATCTGCTTGGTATTGGATTACTATATTGACAAATTGTATTATTACAAAACAGTTTTTTAAAAGGTGGATTAACCAGTTTTACTATAATCTGACCAGATTAGGAGCTAGAAAAACAGTCAGAACTGTAAGTGAACACAATACATGTATTCCAGATGTTGTGGAATTACATCAGAAGACTTAAATACAAAATAACTGATTTTTTTTTATTTCTGAATCTTCATTACTAAACATTCTATGGTGCCTTACATATACAAAACTGGGACATTTCAAAATAGTGCTTAGCACAAAACATTTCAATATTTATCACTATTGAAACAGATGAATATGTATTGGTATAACTCACCTTATATGTTACTATATTCTTATCAGTATCTAAGCTCTCAATCAATACACCGAGGTGACAAAATAAAGCAAGTCCACTCCTACAAAGTTTCAAGCACTCTTTGTCTACCCTGCCAATGTGATGCAATGCGATGCTTAAGACAGCAGAGCTGCCCGTCTATGTTTGTGAGAGCACAAAAAGAAAAACAAGATCAAACAGGATAGTACGTCAGGGGAATCGGAACTTTGGGTATTGGCTTCTGCTCTTCTCACCCACCTGATTGTTAGCTTGCAAGGCATCTCCCAGAGCCTTCTGATTGTGATCAGCCACATGCTTCCAGTACTGCTCGGCATGAGGACTTAGGCCCTCGTGCGGCGCGTGGCTCAGGGCGGTGTAAGTCATGGTGCTGTGCAGGCTGTGTTCCGGTAAAGCGGGGATGGGTGACATGACACAGCCCTCAAAGTCAGCGACATCACAGCTGGGGAGCTGCAGGCTGACAGAATCGAGGCAGGGCTGCATCAGCGCAGGGTGGTCTGTGAAAAATAACGAAAAACATATTACCGCTGAATTTCATTTTGTACACTTGAGGAAAAATATATATTGATTAGGCTGCCAAATATCCTTTCTGCACATTTTCTGTTGAAACAGCTTTTAATTACAAGGAAAGTAGGGAGAAAAGAACTTTTCTAATAAAGTCTGTCCCCACCTCCATGTCCTCTTTTTCAAAATGAGCATTCAAACTTTATGATTTATGCATGCAAAAATATAGACAGCTCCTTACGCGCTGTCGTACGTGCAAAAACCAGTAGCGATGGCAATGAAATATACTCACCAGGAATCATGTGGCCAACAGCATCCTCAAACACGGGAAGATCGTAGCCTGAATTGGGTATCTGCGCATTCTGTGGATGAAAAAAATGGCAATGTTTTAAAATGCAAGCGATTATAATAAATGTAAAAAAGAGAGGAGATAAAATGCCCTTAGTTTCAAAACTTTATGTCATCATACCTGAAAGTCGTATTCCCAGTATGGAAACCTCATGTAACTACAAGTTTCAATTGCCATGTCAACTATACTGTTATAATATGCAAAATCCCCAAGCTTCCTCAGTTCAACGGAAGCGTGTTATCCGCTCTGTAGGTGACTGTGTCAACTGACGCGAAAGCCCGTGTCAGGCGTCCTCCGAGCCCTGCTTGGGAAAATTACACACCCGGGGGCGACTGTGCAGGTGCCACGCGCTCCGCGGACTGGCGCCCGCCTGCCAGGATTGCCTCTATACGTCCCTCGCCCTGCGATCCCATAGGCTCGCCGCACGAGCCAACCACAGCGCCCGCCTCGCGCATTCCCCCGCACTGCAGCGCAAACAGGGACAGCGCCTCGGGCGCCGCTCGCACCGCGTGCCCCAGCACTCCGCCCCTGGAACCCGGACAGGGGAGCTGTAAGGAACTGCTCTCCTCTCATCCACCCTGCGTTCTCTCACGAATTAACTATTCCATTCCCAGCGTGCCGACTGTTTGGGGCTCTCATATACAGCACTAAAGATGCTCTGGTCTAACATGTATTTTAATTTTCATTCAGTCTTCTCGTACGGAACAACAATACATTCCCTATAATAATAATAATAATAATAATAATAATAATAAATGTAAATCTATCAGATTGTGGCAAAAATAGTTTCCTTAACTATAAATTCACTAATAAATTAGCCTACTGCTAGAGTATAAAAAGTGAGCACTTAATACTCATTACAGTTGTTCGCTTTTATAATACTGTAAATAGCAAATGTTCTTTACCTTAGTAGCAGCAGTGGCAATTATTAACGTATGAGTAAAAACATTTGAATATTACATTTCTTTAGACCCCATTGATAAACTCAGACGATAATATGCGAAACACCGATGTAATTATACTACGAGCACCTTAACTCCTGTCGGTTACACGTTCAGTTTCGCACCACCTGTGTCACTGTTCTACGAATTTTACCAGGCCCATCGCAGGGGACAAAAAATCTTGTCAGATGCTGACATGTAAGGTACCCTGCTGAATAACAGTCAGAGGCTAAGGTTTTTTGTCTACAATATTCCGTTTGCGCAGTGTGGTGCTGGGATTTCAGCGTATTTCAGAGGGGAATCTAACAGGTTTTCAGTTGCCAAAACAAACCGCAGGCACGTGGCGATACTACAGATAGTAGTACAGACATTGGAGATCTAGAGAGCCATTGTGCTGTATAATAGAATTGTGTTTCTACGCTATTATCCTATATCCCAACACCTACACACCAACCCTTCTCCTGATTTCTGCGGTAAAAGTAAAAATAGCAGTTAGGTGAAATTCAACCTGTGTGCAATAGCAAACATGCACAAAAATCGACGTCACTAAAACAAGTAACAAGCTTTCCTCTCATTTTAAAATAGAACAAAAGGTTTGAAGTGTTGGTTAGCCTAAGCGGTATAGTTTAAGCTTATTTAGCATAAGGATATGTTAAGGTGATGTTTGTAGTAGAACAGTACCTGTTGCTGCACTGAGCCGCTCTCCCGCTGCAGAACGGAAGTGCATTCTTCCAGATCTTGCCAAGCGATCGTTGCGAAGGCTGTTAAATAAATACACATTACAGTCCACACCACGACTATGTTTCTTACACTTCAATTAAGTGAATAAACCTGACAAAAGACAAAAACATGATGACTACCTTCATCAACGATATTGGACGTCTCTTCAATGTAAATGGAAACTGGAACGTTGCCCGTGACAATTTTCGGAGGTTCCTGAAAGTAAAATATATTGTTGTTGTTGTTGTTTTGTTTTTGTTTAGTGAATTAACCGCATAAGGGCACTTAAACAGGCAGAAGCACTGGACAGTAAATTATTGTACCTTTTTGCTGTCTTCCTTGGATGGTTTCCTGTCTTGAATACGAGAGGAGAAATTCGCCAGGCTGTTGGGGCAAAGTCTTCCGAATGCTTTTCTTTCATTTTGCATTTTAGTATAATCAGTATTTCCTAGGAAATGCGATTCCGGGTTAACATGCGTTAGCGATCACATTGGTTTCTGGAAGTTAGGCTCTATATTGTCTTTATAGTTGGCGAAAAAAAATGCCGTTATGTGTTATTTATTTCCTCATCCAATCACTGCGTTTTCCACCAAATCTCCAAGGTAGAGAGGCGTCCCTGGAGATGTTTGAGGATGCGGGAAGCAAAAAGTCCTCATTTTAATTAAACCTGAGCGCCAGGGGTGGCGCCTTGCGCTGTGACAATCTGTGAAGAGCAAAGGCGCTAACACTGAACAGCCTTCACTGCCCTCTTGGGACAACATAATACTGCGGTCGTTATGCACAGTGCAGCCAGATTTGCGCCGTTTTGTCACAAGTGGCGCCAGCAGAACCTTAACTGTAAATATGTTCACTTTTATTGTATTGTTTTATTATAAAAGTACACATTTAATACGCATTTCAAAAGTTCACTTTTGAACGTAAAAACGTCTTCTTGATTTTTGTTTATCAAGAGAGCCTAAAGAAAAGGGAAAAGTCAGTTGTTAATATGTGTTCCAGGATAGTACAATTATTAAGCAACATTTGCATTATAGCCTAAAAAAATAAAAATAGCCCCAAAAAATGTAAAACACGTGACAAAGTAAAAAAATATGATTTGATTGTTCGCCCATGATAAATATTTACAAAATAACACATAATCCTATACAAAATACTGTTCTGATGCTACTAAATTTACGTTATTTTAACCATGGACAAATTAAGTCGTGTAAACTATTTGGATTTTTTTAATAAAACGAGCCTTTATACTTTGTTGGTGTGAATTGTATTTTTCCTACCCATTTACTCAATTCTTAATTGAGTACTTCAGTACATTTTCATTAGTAACCAATTCTCATGTCCTTATCCGTCGATTGTATTTTAAAAGCGAAGAGAAACTGCTTTTATTTCCCAAGAATACTGGTAATTACGGCCAGAATTCGGACTTTTTTACATGATCTTTAAAATTCAAAATGTCTTGGATTGGGATTGAGTATTTCTCTTCTTTGGTTGTTTATTTTTTGACTGCACCTCAACTTCATTGTTCCTGAATGCCTTTTGTTTAAAACCTCTATTATCGGAACTGTCTCCATTGTTGTCATCACGGTTTTACAACTTAATCTGGGCATTCTTGTCCCACAGCTTTCGCGGCATGTTAGTCTTCTTGTACATTTTCAGACCTAGCTTCCTCCAGCCTTTTTAACATTCATTTTTTATCATTACATTGCCGTTAGTATCAGGAAGTGGGGATGTCATACACTGATCAATATCAGACCATTTCAAAACCTTTTTTTTTTGTGTTCACCAAGTGTAGTGTGTATGCATGCTTAGCGTTACTGTCATATTTACATTAAAACTTCTCGATGATATTGTTCACAATTGCAAGCAGCCCTCTTGTGCGATCATCTTTTCAATGTTGCTTATTCCAGATTAATACATCCCAGATGTCTTGTTTGAAAGTTGTTTCTGTATTCTAACTGGAAGACAGGTGTGCACTGTGAAGACCTGTAGTTTCTGGGTAAAAATGAGCAAATGCCTGTGAGCACAATGCCATGACAGTTTTTTTTTCGATATGGATTTAAAAAGTGCTGCATAAAATGATCAAATACAGTTGTCTTTTCAGTTTGGAAATTATACAGTGTATTGCAATAAATGAATACATTTGAAAAAAAAATTCGATACATTTCCCAGCTACCCTTAACAATGCACTTTTTTTCTAACCTAAGCAAAACTGGGCTACATTTAGCATCTGCTCTCATCTTCAATCTGAAAAGAATAATGAAGAGAACAAGCAAAATACCAAAAACAGCCAAAAGAAGATACAACTAGTACTGCAGGGATCTAAAAAGGCATCAATGCACGGTTCAAAACAAAAATGTTGCACAGAAAATGGAAAATTCTACAATTGTACTGAGTGATCCAAATGTTGTAAAATAACATTAGATAATTTTGAAATAGAGGAAATGATTTACCTTATCAAAACCATAAAGTCTCTTAAAGAGCCTTCTGAAAAATATTACTAATGTCATATAACAGCCTTCAACAGACATTTGTCATCTGTAAGTAAAACGTAGTAAGTTTTACTTACGTAGCTGAATTAAAAGCATTCATAAAAATCAAGAAAGTCATAGGTCATTAAAGTGGAAGAGTTTATGATGCCATATACTACATTCTAATTAAACTTATTAACATTAAATTCATTATTATGTGAGTATTGGAGACATTTATCATACGCTTTATAGATGGAGGTTATTTGTAGAAAATGTCATTGACTTTTTAAAAAACATACAAAAATGTTTGATCCGTGATTCATTTATGGTTTGAAACAAATTGGTCATTTTCTTTCACAAACCTATAGAGAAAATGCTTAGCAATATCTGCTGTGTCTTTTGGAATATGTTTTCTAGCAAACTTTGATGTCTGATGAAAACTGTTCATTGCAGAATTAACTACCGTTACGCAGGTTGTGGAAAAGTACATATCACAGGGAAACTGCACAGTTTGTCAACTTCATGGTGTCTGGAGATTCTTGATTGGGCAGGACTGTAGATTTCTCCTTCTACCCTGAAGCACAAGACTTTCTCAATTCTGTAATTATAATGATAATATATCTACAGTAACGAGAAAAGATTTGTGAAACACCAATATAATTATACTGTAGTTCTTGCACTTTCTTAACAGGATACACTTGTTTAATAAAAACAGTTGCTTTGCTGGGTTTAGCTTTACCAAATCAATGTCTTTTGGAGATAATGCATAAAGTAGAAAAATATATAATTCAGAATCAGTATATGTGAAATAATAAGTGAACCCCTAGTTTACCCAGCCAAAATAAGAGGGTAATTAGGATCAAGTGCTTAAGTATTGAGTAACAACTAAACAAGAAATGAGTTTGGGTGGCCCTGTCCTGTATAATACTTAAAAACGTGGTGAATTTGGCCTTCATCATACAGATTAATGGAAACATGTCAAGCCATGAAAAGAGATTCAGAAGACCTTGGAAAAAAAGTAGCTGAGACTCATCAGTCTGGAGAGAATAACAAATCTATTTCTAAATATTAGGGTATCCTTCCACTGCCAGTCTATAAATGGAAAATATTTAGGACCATGGGTACTCTACTGAACATAACACAAATCTCCCTGCCACAATCTCCAAAAGATCAACCCAGAAAATCATCCAGGAAGTCGCAAAGGACCCCAAAGTAACATCTAAGGATCCACATGAGTAACACTGCTATTAACATTAGTGTTCGTGCCTCAGCAAATAAGAAAAAGCAGAACAGAAAGATTTTTCATAGAAAGGTATCCAGAAGGAAACCATGGCTCTCTATAAAGAACATTATAGCCTATCCCAAGATAGCCAAAGGGCACATCGATGATCCACAAGACAAAAGTCAAAAGTTGAAATGTTTAATGTGATGAAAACAAAACTGCCTTCCAACAAAAGAACCCCACCCCAATTGTCAAAGCATGCTTGTCGGAGTATCATGGAGAGGGAAAGTTTTGCTGCCTCACGATCCAACTTGGAATCATTGATGGAACCTTGAATTTATATCCACAAACTTTGGGGGTGAATATTAGGCCACCCATTCGTTATCTGATACTGATTTGGTCATACAGCAAGACATACAAGCAGATCTAGAGCAGAAGAGTTGAAGAAGACATTTTGCATTTTGGATTGGCCAAGTCAAAGTCTGATCCTAAACTCCACTGAAATGCTATGAAAAGACCTGAGGTGAACTGTCCATGCAAGGAAACTCTCAAATGTCTCTGATCACATGCAATTCTGTAAGAAAGAAAGGGCAGAAATTCCTAAAAAACGATATGATAAACTAATTGACTGTTACAAAAAATGTATAGCTGAAGTAATTTCTGCTTATGTTTTGGTGTTATATGTTTAATCAGGTCACCTTCATTGTTCATTATGACTTTCATGCAGATCTAATTACATTTTAGTCTAAAATAACACAAATCAATCCTGCAAATTCAAAACCTTTTTCTTATAATGTATGTGTATCAGGGTGCAGTGCATGTCTGAGATGCTGACATCACTCCATTAAAAACATAGTGTAGGATTCTCCCATTGAAAAACAAAAACGATTGTGGATTAGTGGAGTTTGGTGCTGTTTGCTCTGAGACTTTAAGCAAACCAGAGGCAGCACTATAGTGGTTTTATATCTGTGTGTTGGTAAAAGTATAGCAGTATTGTAATACTAGAACTGCTTAGTTATGATTTTCCCCCTCTATCTTTTAAGCTTCATTTGCCTTATAACAATTTTGTAAAAAAAACTATCAACCGACAGATGTAAAACTGTATTTCCAGATGAAGGACTTTGACGATTACAAATGTTTTTTTTCTTAAAACATTAACTTGGCTTTTATCAAAATAACATCGTGACTTTTTTGCTTTCAAAGGGAACATGCTTTCTGTCTTTTTGCTTAAGGTCAAGACTTACTGGAATCACCTCCTGTTGATTGTGTTTAGCTGCAAGACATCTGGTAACAGACCACCACTGAATACAATCTATAAGAGGCAACTCTTAATAGCAAGATTACTCAGAAAAGATTATTGGTATTACTTTTAACAGTACAAAATAAACAAAATAGTGAATGAAGTCAGCAGGAAGGTGTGCACTCTAAAATGCTTGTTTAATACAGTACATTATATTTAGTACATTGTATTAAATACAAGATCGAACACATGGATGCACCTACAGTAGATGTGTACAGTGTGCTTTCTCATTAAGACATACATTTGAACAAAAATATTAAATAATAAAAAGGCTGTTCTATAAATAAACACATATTAATCACTTACTAAACCACTTTGCAGTATGAATATGCATTTTTTCAAATGAATACATGTTCCCTGCAATGTCCTTGAGTGCTGTGGATGCTGCCAGTATTTATTCAGTCTTTCCTTCATTCTGCTGAACCTTGTGTTTGAACCTTCACTTTGAAAAATTACATATTCAGTCTTCACAAATATAATTTCATTTTAACACTTAAAAGATTCAACTGAGCAAAGATATGTATTTCTAAATCTGTCTTTATGTAACCTATGCAACACGTTGAGATTAGTGATTTGTTCTCTTCAAGTAACTTTCTGTAACTAAGACAGATCTCTGACAGATCAGAGCTTCAAGGTGAGTACAGTATCTGCACTACAAAATAAACATAAATAATTCAAGTAGGTAGCAGCGTCAGTATGCACACTCAAAGAAGGCTCCACAGCCAAAATAATGTGCCTTTCTTCTCTTTTTGGCATTGGAATAAACCTTTACTTGTTCCTTTGAAACATAAATGATTATGACGCATACAGTGATACCTTCCTTAAGCGTCCAAATTCTTAAAGGATATTTGCCTTCAAAATCGTATAACAAATGCCATCTTATAGGATTTACTGACAATATTGCTCTTTCTAACCAGTTTCATTTGTATTGCCCCCCTTTTAGTACTAACACAGTGTATTCTGACCTAGAGAGATTTGATTTTAAAAACAACCTACACGGATACACCAGCTCTTATTTTCGCTCTTCATCGCAAAATAAGAGAAACGTATTTTAACATTTCAACAACTTCAAATTTAAGTACAGTTAAAAAAAAATGAAATTTAAGGACTAGATATTAACGTTTCTGTAAACGAACTTGAGGTACTGGGTACGATTCATTTTTTTTTATTTTTAAATCCTCTGTTGAGGCGTTTTTACAGGATAATTTACAATGACGACCTGGAGAGCAACATTTTATGCAGTGGGGTATTTCCTAGAGCAGCTTCAATAAAGTACCTGACTTTCATAGGCTATAACAGCAGCGTATCACTAGGGATTTCAAGACACACGTCATGTGGTTACCACTGGCGCACACTGCTGTCTGACAGTCGGACGAACTCAAACGAAAAACTAGTGAAATAAGATGTTTTACAATTCAGCCATGGAGCGTAATACATCTTCATTGAGGGAAACCAGGAGTTTCAGGTTTTTTAAGCACTCTTCGGTTACACTGAGTGGATAATCATTCTGTTCCAAGTCTGTTGGGTGGTGAAGACCAAGCATGTTGTCAGCCAGTTGTATCGCGCAAACGGCCAGAAGAGAGGGAGGGTATCGGTTGAATGAATAATCGGCCAGACTGAGTTCTGCGATCTTCTTCGCCAAACTTTTAGATTTCCCAGGGCTCGAGACGCTTTGTCTAAACACCTCTCCACCTTCCAATCTGTGATTCGTGAAATGTTCAATAAAGAAGGCAACCGTCGGAGCTGTCAGGCTAAAGTTCAATCTGATCAAGACAATGCACTCCAGATTGCACAGCTGATCTTTTGAGAAGGCACCACAACACAATGCGAGTAGCTGCTTTATCCGCGGCGGGTACACTTCTACCTGCAATAAATATAAGTACACGTTAATAGATTAATACTATATGCCAGATAATTTGTTGCTGTTTTCAGATCAGAATGTATGAATCAATGAAAACTGCAAACTGTCTCATACACCCCCCATAAAAATACAAGAGCCATAAAAACAAGATACAAAAAAATGACGCTAATAACAACCTCTGTAAGAGCTAGAATAATTTTAATAGGATACCCCTTCATGTTTTCAAGGTCTTCCCTGTCGTTTAAATCTTTAACAGGAAAAGGAGTTTATTAAAGGCTAAAAGACTTCAATCTTAATTGTTCCACTCGGTCTGCTCGACCAGCACTCACCTGCTTGCAGGCGATCAGAAGAGAGGTCACTCCCAGGAGCTGGAAGCAGTCTGAAGCCACGGGCGTGGTGGCGAGAAACCGGTCCATGATGTTGATCGCAAGGCAGCACGATTCGAAAGACAGATTGAAATGCCTGTGGACGGGAATCAGCCAACTGACCAGCTTGCACCGGGCTTCTGCTGTAATCTAGATGGAAGAAAACGCGTGCCACGTAAGTACCGAGAAAAGTGTAACAAAAAACAAGCTACGTCTTCTGCGAGAGCGCACTTTGCTTACTTGTGACTGAAATGCTAAACAGTTAACCGGATGGAACCTCTTCTCTTTGTTTTTTTGAACGCAGTAGCACGTCTCCCCGTATTCCTTGAAGATCTGCCAGTCCAACAGGGGAGAGTAAGGGGACTGCGAGTCTGTCAGTCGTGGGCTGATCCGTGATGACGACCCGGACGAGGGAGTAGAGCACGGAGTTAAGATGCCCTCGTGAAAGCCTGAATCACTTAGTACCGACTCTATCATCTGCTTTCTGTGCCTCGGGTATTTCGTCTTTTTACACGGAGCTCGCAGATTGGCAGAGGCGATCGACAGCGCTTCAGTTCTGTCCTCGGGTGTTACATCTTCTTTGGCAGGAGAGGCGCCGTGACTTCTTTTTCTTTTACACGGGCTAGGTTTCTTCATGACTCCGTCTTCCAAGAAACTAAATGCCACCATTTTATTTTTTTAAGGCGATTATAACCGATGGAGCTCTGCCATTCACAAATTTGCCCTGATGCGCTCAGTATCTAAACCTAAAGGCAACTGCCACATGCGTTTATTTACTTGCCAGGGCGCACCCCTTATTGGCTGTTGATGGGGGTTTGCTTGGGTGACGTAGCCAGTCCGCTGGTTTCCCGGGTAAGCTAGCGCTCTTTGCCACTCTTAATTACTCCCGCAGCTAGAAAATATGCGTCCTGTGGTTGCCAGGCCGAAACAAAAGGGTTTATTTCTTCCTTTAGTTTTTCCTTTTTTTCCTGCCGCAGAAACATACAAGGAGAATACCAGCATATTTTAAAACATCATGCTTTCCTTGTAAAATGTAAAAATCTCTTAGAAGCGTCTACTTAAAAATGATGTCATGCAAATTGCATGGGAAAAAATTGAAAAAAAAAAGATTCAGGTCGTTGTTGCTTATTGCTTATGATTGGTGTAATACGGAGAGTCACCTAAATGAAGAAAACAAATACATGCTTACTAAACTTTATTAAACAAATGCAATATAAGGTCAAACAATAAATTTAAAAATGTCCAAAAAGACAAGTGTTCTCTAGCTCTCTGACGCGTTTACTATCACAGAAGTGTTGTTTTTTTTTATTGTACGTGGAGGCTGTCAGTGTAACTCGATCCACACAGCTGCGCTGGGTAGAATTTTAGATGGTTTAGGACCATCAGTTCTGCTTAAATTATCACACATATGTATTTTATTTGCGTTCCTATATTTGGCGGAACTCCCTATTGACTTTCATTATATGTTTGTTGGCTGTTCCAAATTCCACATCAATGAAAAGCCAAAGCAATTCTTTCTGGTAGAAATAGATTTAAAATAAGACGTCATCTGGTTTATAGAAAGGGATCAAAATTGCGGTGACAAGCCCACATCACCTGCCGCAATGGGACTGCTAACTTATCTATCATTATCATGTTTTCCAATTGTGCCACAGCATTAACCGTAGCCTAACACAGGGGTTCCCAATCCTGGTCCAGAAGGCCCACAGACCCGCGGGTTTTCATTCCAGCCTCCTTAATCAACAAGTTGCTTGACTGGAATACTTGAAAGTTAGTTTTCTACTCAGACGTCAGCGATTCCGTTTTGCTCATGACATGCAATGGTTAATAGCCAATCTCCCACCTCATACACACACGCCAAGGGACCGAGAGGCGCGAAGTGTAGAGGCAAGGAGGGCTGCCTTAGGGTGTAATCTGATACTTCGCAGTCATTACCAGAAAACGTGCTTAACAGACGGGGCACACTCTAACGACAGCGACAAGACGTTTGCGAAATTTTGATTTCCGTGACCAAGTACGGCTTTGTTACGCTGTCACGCAGGAAGACGGGGAAAAAAATCTATGCACCGACCTCTGTATTTCTATGTGGTTAATGGCTGCATTTGAAATTGTGAGAATATATCTGACTTCATTTCTGTAAGTGGCTTTAGGTTGAAGATCCATTCATTTCCCCCCTTCGCTATTTCGGTCATTTCTATCAGACCAAGTTTTTTAATATGTTGATTTATGTTCATACAAAAATAATCTGTGTTCTATGTCCTACACCTTTAAGATTTTTGCAACAGTGAATCAGAGTAAAAAGACTGCAAACAGCTACGGTTTTATTTTATTACGACGTTGTGATAATATGAAAATAATTTTGCGGTTTTGGGGTTGGTTGCCCAACGTGTCTCTTCTTTTGATACCTATTTCTTCCTATCTTTTATTTTTATTTACAAAAATTTTAATCAGGGACTTTTATTTGCCTGGAATTGTGTGTGTTCCTAGTTATTCTTTGCAATGAGAAAAATAAACGATGAAAAAAAATGGTTCATAACTGGCCAAAGGAAATATATATATAATCCTATTTTTAGTGGGGGAGGGGGAGATTAGGAACTTGTAACTCACCAAAGTGTGTGATGTGTTTAGTGATCTTAAGGGAGGGAAATTAAGATCCATCTATCGGTTTTCCAATCGTTTCTTCCAGTTCAGGGTCACGAAGAAGCCGGTGACCATTCCGGCAGGCAACGGGCACAAGGCAGGGTACACCCTGGACGGGTCACAGGGCAGACAGACACAAATACAGCCACACACGCACTCATACCACTGGTATTACCGGGGGCTTTTCTCCCAGAAGCCAAATAACCCACCAGAATGTCTTTGGACTGCGGGAGGAAACCGACCCTGTGGAAACCCACGAGAACACGGGGAAAACATACAAATTCCGCGCACATGGCACCTCAGGAATTGAATCCAAGGCCCCAGCGATAAGAGGTAGCAATATTAACCACAGCACCCCCATGCAACCCGCGTAAGACCGTTGTCCTAAAATGCAGCCTTTGCGGTTTGATGAAGAATCGCATCTCACGTACAGATTCCTAAGACTAGTTTGTGGAGTATGCAGATGATCTCGGGAAATACCCAAGCAGGAGACTGTTCTTCGATTTCCCGGACAGAATATGAACACATTTAAAGATTTAGAGTCCTGTTAAGAGAAAGGGGAGAGGATTGTCTGTATTGAGCATGAAGCACAGATCGCGACAGTCGAAATATTGAAAAGTTTAAACCAGTTTAATTTAGAGGGCTCTCCTTTTGGAAAACGATTACTGTTACGAACTCACCTATACTGTGGGAGTAATGTCTGCTGACGTAAATCTTTATTATCGACATGGATGACAGTACTTGCACGAGCAGGAAATTGAGAGGCTGGTAAACTCAGTGTGGATTCTACTTGGGACACTTTGCCCTCTGATCATGCAAAAGTGATGTCTGTGCACATGTAAGAGGATTGTTTCCAATTTAAACGTGACATAAATCAAACAAAATAATTTTGTTATGAAATTAACTAAATTAAAGTTAAACCCTAACACACTAATGATACATTTCATATCCAGTACTTATTATTTTCTTTACTAATTTTGTGGAAATGTCCTATTTTTTACATCCCTTAATCGTGGGAAATGTAGATAGTTGCTTTGGCGTGGCTGACGCAGTCACACTCACAAGATAATATATGCCATTCTTTCAAAGCCTGATGCAAAACGACGATTTTTGGGGAAGGATCAAATCGCATCACTGGTACTTGTTAATCTTTTTCAGTGCCATGAAGAAACACCGTGCAATGAAGGAAACATAACATAACAACTTTAATCATCACTGCTATTTTCTCACGCACGTCGACAATTTTGCTGGCAAACTAATGCCCTCTAACGGGCAAGAAGGCATTTTACACCCGCTACATTTCCCGTCTTCAATGATAGCCAAGCCGCTATGTACTGTAGCATGGGCCGCTCACTGAGAGAATTATTTTTTTTATAGGTCAACATACTTAAAACCCAGAAACTATTCAACTGCTTTACGTGGCTTTCATTATGTCAACAGTTAATGTTAACAGCTGCAGTAAAACTACTAGTATTACTAGTACTACTACTATTAGCTGATGTGTGGTGAGCGTTCTGGCACACTATGGCTGCCGTCGCATCATCCAGGTGG